ATATATATATATATATATATATATATATATATATATATATATATATATATATATATATATATATATATATTATTCATGGCTTTTAAAGTGTTGGTGTAAGCCAATTTGATATACTAGTAATATTGGTATATCAAAATTTGATCCGCCCATGGCGCAGCAATAATACGCATACATAAACATTCTCGCGCACATGTGAAATTGATTGTATAACAATGATGAATTTACACATTATTTTTAGTAAGGAATGAAAATAACGATAAAAGTATTAATAATCCCCGTTATCTAAATGAATTTAATAGGGTACGTATTTTCTTCTCAATCATTTCTGCTTAATGTTTCACCCATCCTCTTTCATGCATAACCAAAAAACTACGGAGAAACGTGGAGTGAGACAGAAAGGAATTTGGTCTCGTTTAAAACTTTGGAAAAGAAATTATACCAAGAAACCTACAATAATATGGTTCGTTGTAAGATACGTGTTCACTTTCCTTGGGATTTATCAACAGTGTTTCTCATTGATACAAAGTTGCAAACCAACTCGACATTATACGGTAAATTTCTCGGTTACGTGGTACACATTATGTGATATATTGAATGTTTTGTTATTATTTTTCTTAAATATAGTATAATGTTCTAAAAATCTATTATTATTAATTAAATATGAAACTTCAAAGGCAAGGCTCTCTCTCTCTCTCTCTCTCTCTCTCTCTCTCTCTCTCTCTCTCTCTCTCTCTCTCTCTCTCTCTCTCTCTCTCTCTCTCTCTCTATCTCTCCACCATAGCATGATACGGGCTAAAATCTATGAAATGACAAGCGTAGATTATTTTTGTTTGTGTTAGCCCACGATATCTCTGGACTTATGAATGATGGTAAAAGTTAAGTCAAACCGAACAGAGAGTTTTAAAGTCAAACTGACCAGAGAGAGAGAGAGAGAGAGAGAGAGAGAGAGAGAGAGAGAGAGAGAGAGAGAGAGAGAGAGAGAGAGAGAGAGAGAGAGAGAGAGAGATTAGTACTAAAGCATAATAATGACTGAGAGCAACTGTAAATATAAAGAGAGAGAGAGAGAGAGAGAGAGAGAGAGAGAGAGAGAGAGAGAGAGAGAGAGAGAGAGAGAGAGAGAGAGAGAGAGAGAGAGAGAGAGAGAGAGAGAGATATTAGTACTAAAGCATAATAATGACTGAGAGCAACGGTAAATATATAGAGAGAGAGAGAGAGAGAGAGAGAGAGAGAGAGAGAGAGAGAGAGAGAGATTAGTACTAAAGCATAATAATGACTGAGAGCAACTGTAAATATAAAGAGAGAGAGAGAGAGAGAGAGAGAGAGAGAGAGAGAGAGAGAGAGAGAGAGAGAGAGAGAGAGAGAGAGATTAGTACTAAAGCATAATAATGACTGAGAGCAACTGTAAATATAAAGAGAGAGAGAGAGAGAGAGAGAGAGAGATTAGTACTAAAGCATAATAATGACTGAGAGCAACTGTAAATATAAGGAGAGAGAGAGACAGAGAGAGACAGACAGACAGACAGATTATATATATTAAGATATTCTAATTACCTCTTCTTGATTCCTCATTTCGCTTAGTTTATATTCCTCATTAATCTCCATGTGCCGGTACATGAATGGTTAAGCGTCCATGTGAATGGCGTAGCTAACCAAGTGCTTATAGTGCTCTAATTTCATCATTAAAACCATTTTTATGTCTAAATCATAAGTACGTATTATATTGATTTAATCGATGTGAAGAAAAAAAGAAAGAAAAAAAAAACACAATCAACTTATCATTATGCAAAGGTAATTGGGAATAGCCACAAAAGGCATAGAACTACATTTTGTAGCTGACACACTTGGGGATGTAAGGAATTCATTCACTCTGTCTATACACAGTTGCCTGTAATAAATTTTAATTTTTTTTTAAAAGGAATAATTTATGTATTAGTATGTGATATAAATAAATATATGCATAATATGTACGCTATATCAACGATATAATCGCGTTTTATAAATTTTTCAATGAAATGAAAAACTAATACATCTCGTGGTATATCATTGATACAGCGTACCTCTCTCTCTCTCATATATATATATATATATATATATATATATATATATATATATATATATATATATATATATATATATATATATATAGTATGTTAGTATGTACGCTTTATATGTATATGTATGAATGTGTGTTTGCCGAATCAAAAGCGAATTTTATTTTAAATTCAACGTATTTATAAATTAAACATATTCTTTCCACTGTAGAGTGTATCACCTTTTTTATTAGTTTTCTGTGGAGGAACCACTTCCAAAACTTTAGCTTGTTTAGTCAAAATGTATGTACCATGTATAAATGTGTGTATGTGTGTGTACTATGTATCTTTGTGTGTGTGTGCATGTACTATGTACCCGTATGTATGTGTGTGTCTGTGTGTGTATGCGCTTTGTACACCTAATTGCTTATCAGATCGAAAGTACAAAGAATGTTGTTATAGGTGGTTTCTCATAAATCATCAAAATGAAATAAGTACGCTACTCTCTTGTAAGCAAAACCTAAAACTACATTTAAATGATATATTTTTCATCCTTGCATCGGTTGTTTTACGATACTACTTTTAAATTATTGGGTTGTAAAGAACATTAAATTATCAGGTAATTCACACGAAACTCGACATGTACGTAGCTATTCTTGACATTGATACGGAAATGAAACAAAGACATCCAGGTCTATAGCACAACGAGCCGTGCTTTCCGGTAACACTACACCATAAAGACGTTGTGCTTTGCCAAAGCAAGACTTCTTAAGTGTCATCGTGTTGGAAACTACGTGAACGTACCGGTGTGCCACTAGAGTTCTAACGCCCTTGATTTATCCCTTAGCCTGTGAGCTATCTTTTGTAATTACATGTTTTTACGTAAATTTGAATTGATTTGAATCACAATAAGTACTCTCATGATGACAGAGAACAAATTTATTACCGCGAAGCTTCACGGTCTTTTGTGCCAGCTCCTCACCAAAAGGCGGACCATATCCCAGTCACCTGCTTCTGCTGAAGATGGCTGTGTCTTTCTCGGCTTCTTCTTGGCGTACAAGCCATAGGCATAAGCCGGAAAAATTAAAAGACATTCATAATTTACCCCAGCATTCATTAGGTATTATAAATCAACTAGCAACAAAGACAGACCCGTCACATTGTTGCAGTACTTGAATCGGAAATTTGTTATTTTACATAATAAAGGTTAAAGGCCAAATGAATCAAATTCAATTCATCGGCATCACGTTGTCGAAGCTGTTTTCTTACCCAATTGTTAAGCAACCAATGTGTGTTGATTTATTTCATTTGATTGTCATAAATACCTCATTAACACGGAGTCTGTATTTAGTGCCAGATGCCGGGACCAGAAATGAAAGATCCAAGGAAAGACAAATTTCTTTCGCGAGAATTTCATGGACACTCGAATGCTGTATTATATACGTTAATGACCTCAGAAAACGGTGTTCTCAAACATTCTAATGCTTCAGAGATTGAGTTTTAAAATGACCTTAAATAATTTATTGGCTAGTGCTTTAATACAGAGACTGACGCACATTTTAGAAATCGATAAAACAAAAGACCATGGGAGCAAATTTGACTAATCTCGATTTTAATGGCGTGATTAATAATTTGATCTACACGACTGCTAAGAACCGGTACGTTTATGTCATGAAATGTTTGTCGTGAAACTTGTTATTAATCTAAACTATACGCGCACGCTTGCATTCCATAACTCTTGCACCATCGTTCGTAGTAGTAGTAGTAGTAGTGGCAGCAGCAGTAGTAGTAGCAGTAGTTAAGTGATGGTGGCGGTGGTTATGTATAAATAATAGTAAATGATTCTGTATGTGTTTGATATGTAAATTCAGGAAATTTGGAAAATTGGTTTGTTTGTATTGCAGCATCTCAGCACAATAGGCGTTATATAGTACCAACTAAAGGCGAATGTTCAAAAAATGTAAATACTAATCGCACAAAAAATATTAGCAGAGGAGAATAAACCCTTCCCTAACAAATGCAAACAAAGAGTACAACCAAATAAAATATAAAATTCAAAATATTAACATTCTGTAAAATGTATATAAAACTAAAACAAATAACAGTGACACATGTACAATCTTTAAAAGACTTTAGAAAATCAACTACATTCTTTAGGGACACAAAAAGAATGTATGATATTTATGACGTGTGAATATAACTTTAGATTCTTGTGAGCAGATCACGTTACAGACTAGATAAAACATATGAACATATAGCTGTAGAGACCACAGACAAATATGTAGATATTTGACTACACAGCAAAGATTAGTTTCTTCATGAGAGCATAACGTGATAAAGAAGATACCAAAAGTAGAGTTTTACGTTTTATTGCCTGACAGACTTACGTAACTGTCTCGATGTTATCTTAAATGGACACCTAACATAACATCGCCACTCTTGCCTGAATGATCAAAGGCGATTTGAACAATTTAAACTGTTGCAACTTCTTCCAACCATCAACAAATTCAATTCTTCATATATAAGTATTATTCGGTTAAACGTTATGGCGTAAGTTGAATAGATAACCTGTATAAAAGGTGGGTATGGGGTGGGAATGGGTTAGGTGAACTAGATTATACAGCTAAAGACATGTTCAGTTCGTGTAACTGAAGAATTATTATCACCGGTGATTGTCATGTACATACGTGAAGATGCTGCATTATAACTATCGAACCTATCTACACTGCATACTCTGGAAATTGTCTAAAATTGAGCTCTATAGACAGGTGGTCTTTATATAAAGGTCACATACCTTGGCAACACGAAGGGGTGAAGTCTAGAAGAAATACAAGAATTGGCAAGAGACATATAATTAAGCAATTAGCAAAACAAACATGCATAGAAGTCCTATAGAATTATTTAGATTATATTGAGCAACTGACTTTTATATAAAAGATATTACAAGACATAAGAACCAAGTAAATTTGAGACCGCTCTGGTAGCTAAGTGGTTATAGCGTCCGCCTAGGATGTGGGAGGTCGCGGGTTTGAATCCCGGCCGAGTCATATCAAAGACTTATAATAAAATGGTACTCACAGCTGCCTCGCTAGGCGCTCAGCTCAGCATTAAAAGGTTAGTGTTAGGACTGGTCGTTTTGGTGTAAGAATATTGTGACTGGGTGGGACATTATGCTACATGTATGCTACATGATGTCCCAATGATAGAGATCACTAAAAAAACTGCCACATTGCAGACACTGTAGCGATATGACTGAAAAATGTTTAAATCTACGTTACAAATCACACACACACACACACACACACACACACACAAGTGAATTGGTCGCTATGCGCAGGTGATCTTAGTAGGACTTCGGTGGTATCTAATATAGGGTGGCGTTTAATACAGTATGACAACTTATCGAGGGTGGCAACCAATATAGGGACGAATATGAGCTTATGCCCAAGCGTGCACCCTCCAAAGTTTATGGCAGCTATTACAAAATGAAAAAGAGGAATATAATGTTTTGTTGTCTTTCTAATTTTGACCAATTTATTTCATGAAGAAACACGTAAATAAATGAAATATATACCTCAGTTATAAGAATTTTTCAAGCTAAGAAAAATATAATTATACTTTTTAGGTATTGATTTAGCTTGACTTTCTGTTTGATGTTGATTGGACACAAATATCCTAGCTTAAAGCAATTCGTAAAACTCTTTGCTAAACTTTATCATTTTCAAATTGAAATGACTAGTATGGCACGTGTATCTGGTTGAATTAGAAAATGAATGTTCCCAACAGTGTCTTGGTATTTCAATTACATTTAGTATGGTTTATTTACATTTGGCATACAAAAAGTTTATGTTGGTTTATTTCAAGCATCATGACCACTCGAGTTTTTCTTTTATACAAAAAGCGGATATTATAAAAATCCATTTGAAAAGTATTTGCAAAATCTAGGTGTAAGACAGGTATAAAGTATGGTACAACAACACGTTTTCTCTGGTTAGAATCCCATTGAATCCGATGCAAAATCCTAATGTACTTCTTCTAGACTAATCTTCCACTTCTTTAAATTTGACAAGTTTTTGGATGAAAGATAGTAGTACTTGTAGTCTACCTTAAATATTGGTTTCAGATTATAAATCTTATGTCAGATATAACTTCTCTTGCTTGTTAAAAATATATACACAAACTTTTTTATTTTTTTTATTTTATTTTTTTTTTATATATTTTTAGTTGAAAGATAGTAATTTATTAAACACAACAACGAAAGAACGTAACCGGAGTTCAAAACAACTTATGCTTACGGGCGTGCTTTGGTTAAAAATTTGAAAATCGATATATCTGTTGAGCGCGATCAAATTATGAAAGCATAAGAAAATCTCCAAATGGTTTGTTGCGTCACGAGTTGGTTTTGTTTAGTGCAGTGCAAACGCCGGCCCCAAATCACCCCCACCCAGAATATTGAGTTGAACAGTATTTCATCAAATAAACAAAATTTCATCTCACCTTAAGTCTTTGCTTTCGTTTCAAACCATGTCATTTGCGCTTCATGTTATTTCATGTCATTCGTTTTATGTCATTTCATGTCATTCGCTTCGTGTCATTGGTGCCTTCAAGGATATAAGCTTGTAACGATTTAGGCACCGTATAAAGTTAAAACGTGAGGCTGTATTATTTCAAAACAGATAAATAATTCTGCATCTATGCCATCTAAATGCATTTGTAATTATTAGAATACCATCCGAAGTGTATGTATGTACAAATCATTTTCCGTTCTGGATCTGAGAATATATAAAACATGTATATTGATCAAAGTAAATAAAATGCAATATTGATCTTCCCTGTGAGATAGATGGCACTGCAAGTAAGGGGAGAATAGATAATGACCTCCAACTAGAGTGCAATTGATTCACACACACACACACACACACACACACACACACACACACACACACACACACACACACACACACACCTGAAATGAGTCTGAGTTAGCAAATCGTGGAGATGGTGTACGAAGTTCGGGACTGATACATTTGAGCTGATTCTGCCTCCATTATACAAATCTGATGGCCCATGAAAAATTTGAAGAACTTACGTTACATACAGAAAAGCAACGGTGTGTACCACAATTCTACACAAAACCGTCATACTCTTTTCCGGCATAACGCCACGACTGCGAGGAATACAAATACACCTTTCACGTTTGTCAAAAGGCAGAATCCTTTACAGGAATGCAAAACTAGTAATTACACGTATACTGCGGTTGATAATCCTGTATCATTCGTCTTTGTCCCGTTGACATTTGTGTTCGCTATGAACCTAATAACTTTTGAGATGTATTCACACTTTTGCTCAATGACGACAGGCAATACTTTCTAGCTGACTGCATCTTTCAATATGGACATCCAACTTGTTAGAAAGAACCGCGAGGCCACTGAGGGAATTTATTGTCCAGGGTTATTGTGAACTGTGGCCAGTTTTGAAATCCATATTCGTCGACATCTCGATGATAATAGAAATGCGAAAGTTCCCGCTGCGTTCGTTTCAATTAAGAGTTCAAAATACGATATCTACTGCCCCTTGACAATGAGACGTGCATACAAAAACTAAAGTTAGTACATTACAGGTCAGCTGTTTTGTGTATTTAGTGTATCAGAAAACAGATTTAAAAAGGGAGTGTGAATGTTCGAGACCTTATTAAAGGTCATCGAGAACAACACAAAAATGCAATACTTATGGTATTATTAATTTTTATAACCTTTTTATATATCAAACATGTACACTGCGGATTAGTTAATTAAACAATTAAGATGATAAAGGTAACGGGTTCAAGGGGACGTTCTGTTTGTTTGTTTGGTTTATATTCTAAGGAAAAGGAAACGGATTGTCAAGATACAGAACAAAAATGGAACAAGTTGAACAATGTAATTGTAGCGTAGGACGTCACTGACTGAACCTACTCCACAAACAGGCGAAGCTGCTTACAATGTATTATTTATAAACACCAGTATTTTCTGCGAATAAAAATGATATGCTAATGATGAAACTTGTAGGCAGATTTGTAATACGTGAAATAATTTTGTGATTTGTTTCTTTTATCCAAGAATTGATTACAAACCCATATTTCAAAGCGCGAATTGGCGATAAAAAGTGAGAGTTATCAGCGAGTGTGTTGACGTTCTTGTGTAAAGAAGCAGAGAGCGGTGACGAGGCTGTCATTGTTCGAGAGAAGTATGAATCTATTTGAGCCTCCATAATTCGACTTATAAACACCATCTTTACATGGTGGGCCAGATGAGAGAAAATTAATCTTGTTCACAGCTGACATTTGAGCATCATGTTCAATATCTTCCGTCTTCTGATGTTGACCCAAGCGCCTTTACTTGCATCTGTGTTCAATGTAATAAAATTTTCAGAATGAAATAATTTGATGAAATGGACTGTTAGGCGAGAGGTGTATTAACATTTGCGCCCTAGGTCTTGAAGAGGTCCGAGAATTGAAACAAATGAAGACAAATAGCTGCAACGATATGGGTTCTGTTTTGGCACTGACAACAATGTTATCTTTGGTGATCAATCAGAGGCTAATGGCAGTGAAAAGGCACACTGCAAATGTTTACAGCTGTTTGTATTGCAAAAAATAAAATATCGTTGTAGTTTGCGAGGATGAACCTTTATTATGCGGCAAGGATAAATTAGATTAATAATTTCAAGTTGGCAATTAAGCTGTGACTTGGATCTTCTTTACGTCTTGAAATTAGAAGAAGAAAGAAATAGTTATACAAGGAATTCAATAAACTATAAAACTAAACTAGCATGCAATAAACTACACTGCACTCTAATATTTTATTAACTATGCTTTGATCGCGAGTTTAAATTATCATTGATTATATAGCACGGGTAAGAGTCCTGTTTCCGGTATATGAAATATTTTGTTGCAAATTTTAGAAATTACGTTTTATTTACGAAAACGAATGTAGTTTTGCAACAAGCATTGCACTCTAAATGGATTTTAATCAAATGAAATATAGTGATAAATATTGACGGGATCATGTTTTCGTGGGGGGGTGTTTGTTTTGTTTTGGGTTATTTTGGCTGGTTTTGCACAGTTATTTTATCATAATATTACCTATACGTTGCAAAGGAAATGGGAACTAAGTGCCTTCTCCAAAGACTCGCCGAGGTCCCAAATCCGGACTGACCAAGACTGTTATCTAGCCCTTTCCCCCTGGATTTACAGTCAGTTTCTCTACCACCTGCATGAAGACACAAATCCAGATAGCGCTGTTTAACCGGTCGTAGACCACTGGTGATTTCATTTTATAGTTATGGATAATTATTATCTCATTATCTGTGAACTTACACATAAGCACACACTCACACACGCATAAATTAAGTTTGATTATTTACAAAATGAATAAAAAAAATTAATTTGTAAAATAATTTTCTTTATTATAAATTATATTTATAAACAAATTAATTTTTATCATACCTGTACGTGCAATAATTAAAAAAAATATGTATTCTTTTTAAATGCAATTCTGTTTGAAAAAGTTTACTTTCGTGAAATAATTTTAATTCACTGATTATTTTATCAAAATTGACTTTTACTGACTACTTCATAAATTGTGGAATTTTATCAATACACGGCACAAGCCTAAGTCAGTGTGTTTATTTATCCCCAAAGCAGAGAGCACTAGAGTTTGATCGTCGTAAGCAATACGCAAAGTCAACTTTCACCAAACACAATTGCAGGTTACATTCGTCTTAAACCCTCGATACAGACGTCTTGAGTGGGACTAGGATACGAACAAGAGACGAAGAGATAAAGTTATTTTATTAACACCTTAATCAATTTTCTGTCAACATGCTAGGCTACCGGAGTTGTAAATTTCAGACTGATTGCGATGACGTGTCTCCTACCTGAGTGAAATGCACATCGCTTTCTATTGATGTCGATTTCATCCCAACGCACGTGCTGTGATCTATCGCTCTAATACACAACAGAAATCAAGAAACCTCACGTTTTGATTCAACAATTGTTGTTTAGACC